CTCCGAAAAAAAAAAACCCAGGGCCCGCCCTAAACCCTAAACCCTAAACCCTAGAACCCTAAACCCTAAACCCTAGAACCCTAAAACATTCGTTCTTCTCAGGGTGCCTGGCCTGGCTGCGGCGCGGTTGTGCTTGCTGCGAAAGCCTGCACAAGCCAGCTCGGCGTGTTGAGGTAGGGTTTAGGGTTTAGGGTTTAGGGTTTAGGGTTTAGGGTTTAGGGTTTAGGGTTTAGGGTTGCCGGTAGCCATGCAGTTCTCATCAAAACTTCTTGAAGCGAGTTCCGCACGCTGGCACTGCAGCAGCTGTAGAACATCCTCTTCCAGACCTCAAGACAAAGAACTACCCGCAAACAATGCCCCTTGTGCGCGCTTCCAGACACTGTCATGGCTTTTCGGGGGTTGGCACTCTGGGCAAGGGTGAGATCTATAGCAGCAGCTATCAGTGCAATGTCAGTGGAGCTGCCAAGCATTGGCCGATCGTGCCTGCCTTTTGTTTCCAGTCGCTGATGGTCCATCTTTGGGACACATCCTCCTTCGGAAGCGTATTTAAAACTAAAACAGTGGAATGGAGTGCAGTTCAGCACATCATGATCGAAGAGGATCGACTAACTTGATCCACAGTCTCCGGGCTCAGATCAGAAACCGCGGCTTCTGTGGCAAGGCCGGTCTTGGTGAGGCCAGGCGGCCGTGCGGCAATCCGCCGCGGAAGGGACCGCCGTAGGAGCTGGGAGCGCAGGCCTGGGGCTGGGGGATTTGGCCACCTGACGGGTGCAGATGTTGCGGGGAGCTCGGGTAGCTTGGATGCTTGGGTGGAGGTGCATAAGCGCAGGCATGTGGAGGCGGAGAAGCGTAGAGAAGCCGGGGGTGCTCCCTCGGCGGTCGATAGACTGCTGAGAGTGTTGAGGGACAGGGCACGGCGCAGGGCGGCGCCGGTGGGAGTTGCCGAAACAAAGGCGGATGAGGCCGGGGCTGGTACGCACAAACAGGCTGCTGTGGGGGTGGCTGAGGGTGCGGACACTGCGGGTATTGCGGGCGCTGTCGGGGATGGGGATCGCTTCGGGTGGGGGGTCTCTGTACGCTGCAGTCTCGGCAGCTCCGGTGGACTGCTACATGGTGGACGGGGGGAGCTTGCAGCCGAATCCGGCGATCGTTCGGCTGCCCGGAATGCCTGGCTGAGTTAATCGGAATTGGGTATGCTGCACGTATCAAGTAAGAGGCCTTGTACTACATACCCCATGCTCTAACGGTAACTACAAGCAACTCTCTCGGCGCCTCCTCAAGGTCCTGGATACCACAACTGCCAAGTCCCACGAGCTTTGCTGCAGAATTCGGAAGTGGTCGACGTCCTCTGCAGCACCAACAGTAGACTCAGTAGACATTTCTGGATCATCAGTATTCCCCAAATAGTGTGGGACATGCAGTGGAGTGCAATCGTGCAGAGCAAAGAGAACTGCTTAGCACGCCCGTGTGCCGCACCGGGAAAAGGTTGCGCGCGCGCACCTCCCACCGCGGCACAGTGCACATGACGTACAAACGACCCGCAGCAAATCGAGAGCCAGATTCCTTGTCAATTCCAATAGATGGGCCACTTTTTGGCCTCGAGAACCATGAATCTGGGCAGTATTTTAGCAACTGCAGGGTGTGTTTGTGCTCATGAATATGCGAGGAAATGCGATAACCACCAAAAGCTTGAAAGGAAACAGCTACTTAACTTAGAGTATACAAACCTAAAATACCGCCAAAGAGCAAGACTCCACACACTTGTAACCTGAAGAAATCATGACACCCCTCTGACTTCCTTCATGTACTTCGGCGGGAAGACGGTTCCACCAACCAGAAGCTCCGCCCTGCTCGGAAGCATCCTTCGAAAGGGCGGCACCTCAAAGACATCCGTCCAATGAGGATACGATGCTGTCTCTGCTGCTGCTTTGTACTACAAGGGTTCGCTCGCGCAACTGACTATGTTGTCATCATCTTCATCATGATCATCATTATCATCATCACCTTACACGCACCAATAAGATCACCATCAGCCTAGATTCAATGTCCCAAACACACGGCATCATCAGGTTTGCGTCTGGATGCTCTGGTCACAAAACGCACAAGTGCATCACATTACCATGTTTGCGCACGGAAACTGGTAACTGCATGAAGTCGGGGATGGACGCTGTCATTGCTTGAGCTTGGACTGTCTGGAATGGAAGGCGCACGCGCTCTGCGGTGGACGCTATGATATGATGGTCTATGTATGGATGAATGTGAAGTCGGATACTTTCGGTAAAGGATTTCATCAGGGTTTCGGCACGGAGAAGCTGACAGCTGCATTTGCTGCCAGATGGACTGAAAAAAGCACCTAGCCAAATCACACGAACTGCGCCTTTCAGAGCTCGAATCAGGAAGAATCGAGAAGATGTGCTGTTCCCGCAAGAAAGACGCCCAAGCCGGTTCAATTATCGTCTATTTGTGAGAAGTCTAAGTGCTCTTCCGCCGCGCCCTTCCCAAACCTCTCCTTTCGCAGAAATGCAGCGCCGGTCAATGATTTTGCATACTCCCAGTGTGCAGCAGGCCACGTCCGGGGCGACCGCTGCCAACAACAACGCCATGAAACAAGCTGCAGCAATCAGAAAGACTAAAGATAAGCGGGGAGGGCGGGGACTGCACAGCACCGAGCCTGATACTACCGACGTTTTTTCCCGTACCAAACCGCACCACCCCTGTGTTGCCTCGGGCGTCATGATATCACATCAGAAAAGAAGGGAACTCGCGCGCAGCACTGGCCATGATTTTTTGCAACGTCCCGGTTCCCATGTACCAAACCGCACCGCTCATGTGCTACCCCTGTCGTCAGGACTTTTTGCAACCTCCCAACCTCCCATGTACCAAACCGCCACTCCCATGTGTGACCTCTGTCGTCATAGTATCACATCTTTGAAGAAGGGAACTCCCACAGCAGTAGCCACCAATTTGCGCAACCTCCCACCCTTCCATATACTAAGATACTTGTGTCAACGTTGTTTGTCCGCATCTTGCCCATAGCCCTCAATGAAATGCAGGGAACAGGAGCCAGCCATTGCTAATGGTAAGCAAGTGCAGCTCACGGCAGCACCCAAAGCATGGCAAATCTTGACTTTCCACGATGTACTGTGGGTGCAATCGCTGAAATGCGTTTTTCAACCCTAGTCCCCACTAGTCCAAACTCTGTCCGAAGAATTGCTGGATCAACTGAATGGAGAGAAATTGCAATTCTTGGCCGTCTCAGAGAGCAACGCGACAGATTCTGACCTACTGGCGCTGCACCGGGGTAGACTCAGAGAATTGTCGACACCATTCCCGGATCACTCGTGCAAAACGCAATATCTACGGCCTACGGCTTAGTGAGAACCTGGTTCGGCTTCTTGCCTTCGCTCCCTCGCCTTCAGGCCTTCAGGTGGCAAAAAGTCTCAGGGGCTCACAGTTCGCAAAAGCCTGACCCAAGCGAAATCATCGGCTCCACTTTCAAGACAGCGTCACAGCGAAGTCTGGGAATTCACGCAGGGTGAGAGATTTCAATTGCAAACACCAAAAACAGCCAAGGCACCTCAGGAGCCATCATGTTGACCTTCGGCGCCGTCAGCTGCCAGTGGTACGGAGACAAGTGCCGGGCGAGCGCCTGCGGGTCGAAGCGAGGCGAAGGCATCTCTGTCCAGCGAGGCAGCCCGAGCGTGTCCACGGCCACAATGCCCTTCACGAGAAAGCCGGCAGACTCAAGGCACTGTGCAAGGCTGTGACCGATCACACCCCCGTGGCTATGTCCGACAAGGACGAGGTTTAGAAGCACCTCTCGGCCCTGCAATGATACTTGCGATGGGAGCAGTGGAAGCAGATTTCGGATCATCAACATGAAGGGCACCTGGGCTTGCCTCAGCGTCTCCTCCAGAGGAGAAATCACCAGGCAGTTGGCTTCGACTGCTTCTTCTATGTCCGGCTGAAACACACTCCGCACAGCTCCTTGCAGGCGCAGCACGCAAGCTGCACTGGGCGAGGGCGAGGGTGACAGAGGCGTGCCCATCATCGGTGCGGGCGGAGCCGCAGATCCGGCACTCCGAAGCAGGCGGTCCTTCTTTCGGGCGACCTGGACCGGGTGACGGGAACGCGAAGGAGCAAGCTCCGGGAATCGCATGAAGGGTACGGAAGGCTTTGCATGCTCGCATCTCGACTCGTGGGCACGATGCGCAAGCACAGGCGCAAGCAAGTTTTGCTGATGCACACCGATGAAACCTGCAAACCTTCGTTGTTTGCGCTCGTCCTTGGCTGCAGGTGCTACAGAAGGAAGGATTCTGTGGACGGAGGCGAAAGATGGGCGAAGCCAACCCGAAATCCGGACGATGGCTCTGCCTTTGGCCACTCCCATGCAAACAGCACGGACGTGTCTTGCAGAGTACCCTGGTGCGGTAAAAGCAAACCTCACGGCACGGCTGTAAGGCAGGGCGTCTACAATGGCGTCCAGGAGGGAATGCATGCATTGCTGCCTAGAAAAATACAAATGTCGCGACTGCACGCTTTGCAACAAACTATGTCTGCATCGGCACTGGGCGGAAACGCTCACCGGCGCTGCGACCGGTCCAAATGAAGCTGCAGCGGCACGCATTGCATGGGCCGCGGGGAAATGCGAGCGAATCCAGCCCGACACTGAAACGATGGCTCTGCTTGCGGTCAGGAGCCTGGACACGCAACTCAGATGACCGGCGCGTCTTGCGAAGGACCCTGCGGCGGTAGGTCTAAACCTCTGGGGCAGGGCATCTACCATTGCGAGATCCATCAGAGAGCCCTGCCTAGACACGAACAAATGGCACGACCGCGCATTTCTGAAGTTTCCTTGCGACAAACTCTCCGGACAGTCCGGGCGAAGCATGTGAGTTCGATGAGAAAGCAGACAAGCCACCACTACATTGAGCTGCTCAGAAAGCATCCTCAGTGACAAGGTCCCGTCGTATAAGACCCCAGGAGGTCTAGTTACACGTGAAGAAGCAAGGGCAGCTGCTTCCAGCCACAGGGCTCTGCAAGGAGGTCTAATTACACGCGAAGACGCAAGGGCGGCGGCTTCCAGCCACAGGGCTCTGCACTGGACGCAAAAGCCCACCGGCACGGCAACTGGTCCAGATGAAGATGCAGCGTGACGGATTGCATGGGCCGCGGGGAAATGCGAGCGAATCCAGCTCGACACTGGCACGATGGCTCTGATTGCGGTCAGGAGCCTGGACATGCAGCTCAGATGCCCGAGGTGTCTTGCGAAGGACCCTGCTGCAGTAAGATCCAAGAGAGAGACTAGCCTAGAAAACGACCAATGCCGCGATCGCACACTTCTGAAGTCTCCTTGCAACAAACTGTTTCCGTATCTACACTGCAATGAACAGCACACCGGCATTGCCACCGGTCGAATCGCCGCAAAATGAGGGTTTGCAGGAGTCGAAGAGAGAGGTGGGCGAATCCAGCCCGAAACTTGGATGACGGCTCTGCGTGGCAGCCCAGCCATGCAGCCTACATCACGGACATGTACAGCTAAGGATTCTGATGCGGCACACCTACCCCTCACAACACCGATGCTGCAAAGGGACCCTGCACTTGCCTGACGGCGAAGCCCAAGCAGCCTGGACCGCATACTCCTGAAACGATTGTGCAACATCGGTTCTTGGGATGCACTCTGACAAGCACGCTTCAGCGGTGCTGTGCCCGTTCGAAGTGACGAAGCTGCAGAGCGAGAGATAGCTTGCGGCCCAGACAGAGGTGAGCGAATCCAGGCCGAAACTTGGACGACGGCCCCGCTTTGAATCTCCACGCTTTCGTTTTCAGGCCGAGGAAAGCACGCCTTTCCATTGCCTGCCAGTTTCGTTGGCCATACAGACTGCAAGGACATGGCTCCGATTTGGGTCAGCTGCCTAACCGGCAAGCAGCACGCATCACGGCTCGACCCTGCTGAGGAAATGGTAAACGTCACAATAAAGGTGCCAGGCACAACATCGATGCCGAAAGCTGCACTTGCCTGACCGAGAAGCCCGAGCAACCTGAATCGAATACTTCGGAAGCGCTTTTGCAAGACAAGCTCTGCAGACGTGCACTGAGAAGCGTGGTGCGCCGCTGCTGTGCCTGGTCGAAGTGACGAAGCTGCAGAGTGCGGGATTGCATGTGCCCCAGAGAGAGGTGAGCGCATGCAGCCCGAAATTTGTACGATGGCTTTGCTTCTGGACAGCAGCCCAGCCCTGCAGCACGCCTCGCGGATGTGCCTTGCAGACGACCCTGCCGTGTCAAAGGTAAACGTTGCAACAACAGTGCAAGGTGTAAGGTTGATGCCGACAGCTGCATTTGCCTGACTGAGAAGCCCAAGCAGGCTGGATCGCATCCTTCGGAAGCCTTCCTGCAAAACGCGCTCTTGGGATGAACACCGACACGCAGGGTGCACCTGTGCTTCGCCTGGTTGAAGTGACGAAGCTGCAGAGCGACGGATTGCAGGTGCCCCAGCGACAGGTGAGCAAATCCAGCTCGATACTTGGAGAGGTTGGCGAATCCGGACCGAAAATTGGACGTGGCTCAAACCACAAACCTCCCTATCGGTGGTACCAGCTATGAAGAAGGCAAATTTCGCAGGGACTTGCTCTGATAGCACTGCCGAGAGTGCCACGCTCGGCGGCATCAGGGGTTCCACATGCACACTGGCAGTTCCATGAGCAAAGTCTTCCTGTGTAGACCGTCTCTGTGGCACTCGTGTCTTCATCTGAGCGATGCTGCTGACACCTAGGCTAACCTTCCGATGTACCAGCTCTGCGAGCATGGGCGAGGTCCTCAAGGAAAACGGTAGCTCTGCCGCCGCTTCCACCATCGCAAAGGATGCGCACTTTAAAACAGGATGCGCACTTCAAACTTCCCTGCTCTATATTCATGCAAGACCAAAGAAGCAGGCCTAACTCTAAATGCCTTGCGCCCAATTTGATCTCGAAAAAAGTGCTCTCAACCTCTATTGGTCTGCACTTCCCTTCCACGCACCCTCCATTGCTGTGGCCCAACCAGCTGCAGGCACGGCGTCTTGGCAAAGTTGCGAAGAGGATAACAGCTGGGCTTTCACTTGGTCAACAGAGCACCGAAGCTTGAGACCGAGGCGCTCAAGAGCAGCCCTAAACCCTAAACCCTAAACCCTAAACCTTAAACCCCAAGGCATCCAGAAAGACCCTGAGCCTGCTTCTTACCTTGGATTGGGGGTGCCGGGGAGTCGAAAGCTTCTTATATCGTGTGAAAGGAAGAGTGCTCTAGTGACTCTAGTCTCCAGTCTCGTCACGGAAGACCGAACTGAAACGGGCAAAGGGCCTGTTCCGTCTTCTTGAGCGGGACGGGCTCTTCAAACGCAGGTCCCTGCCTTGGCCGCCTTGGCTGAAGCTTGAACGCTGCAGCTTCCGCTTCAGCTCACAAACCGTGCCCTGTCGTTCACTGAACAGCGTTGCCGGCTAGGATGCAAACGAGTGTCCGTCGAAACGCTCCTTCTCGTATCTCAGTCCCCGGCCAGCAGATCTTTCTCGGATCTGGGGGCGTCTCGCGGCACGCGCCTTCGAGCCAGGGGCGTCAGAGACCTTCTTCTTGGGCGCGGCCTGAGCTCGGCCGCAATCGCATGCAAAGAAAGACTTGCAGATGCAGTTGCGTCGGGGAACGGCCGTTCCGAATCTTGCTGTTGTGCCATGGCCTCCTCCTTGCCAGGGCAACTGCGGAACAGACCTCAAACACGCAGACTGCAGAGGCCTGTTCCACGACCCTCCATGGCCTTGGACATACTCAAAGCCCGAGAGACGCAGATCAAGCAGAAGGGCCGGCGCACACTTGTAAGGCCTGGACATCTGAAGCAGCAACAGTGTCCCCCATCTGCGCGATCTCGAACATCTCTAGGCCTTCCGGCGAGGCAATAAACCGCTGCCATGCATCACCCTGAGCGGTCCCCAGATGGACTTGCTCCGTCGGCTCGTTTGCAGTCTTCTTCAGTGCACGAAGCTGTGGAGGGTTGGAGCACCCACCCAGTGCCAGTCCTGGGACGAACGCCTGAATCTGCACGAACATGTACACCCGCAATATAAATTGCAAACCCCTGACAAGAGGGGGGCTGCCGCTCCATTCCGCGGAGCAAACGCTGCTAACAGAACAACGGGCACGGCTCTCAGTGTTTGAAGCCATGGGATCTTATGACTTCAGCACGTGCCTCACGCTTGCTACTGAAGCAGTCGGTGTCATAGCCAGTCTCACCAAAAGACGGAATCGAGCCCATGATTTCTCTTACGCCGTCTTGAAGAATGCGGAAGAGAGGGACCCAGCGAACCCATAAAGGCAGGCTTGGATGAACCCAGGCTGGCCATCCCAAGCTCTTGTAGACCTCCAGCGCTGAGGATAAGCGAATCGTGGTTCGAACATCGGACCAGCGGCAGGCGGACATGACGACGAGATTCGTTTTTGCATCTCCCTCGTTGCTAACCCGATGCCAGGACCATGGCGGATTAAACAGCGAATCCCCAGCTTCCAATCTTACCAAAACTTTGGGCAGGAAGGGGTAGATGCGATCGATCGTCTCATGGTTGGCCGGCAGATATCCCCACGATCCAATGCCTGCCGGGATTGTCGGCCCCAAGAAGATCGAGAACTTGTAGTTGATCAATTCCCAGACTTTCGTCCCGTGATAAACGCTCACCAAGTTTGGGTGGTTTGCCATGTGCCATCTTCTGGCGCGGCACACGGATGAGAACACAAAGAAGGGCCAGGAAGGACAGGAAGCAATGTAAGATGTCCACGAACATGTCATGACCCACATCCGCTGCGATTCCACTGTAGCCTGCGCCAGAGGAAGGATCGCGCTCGTACTCGTAGTTTATGATGCTGAAGTATTTCAGCACGGCGCTCAGCAGCAATGCTGCGCCGCACTTGCAACTGGCTGTCTTCACTAAGAAGGGCTTGATCCACCCAAGCAGCGCCCCAAAGCCGAAGTACCACAGAATCAGGTGCGAGCCGGCCTGGCGAGTATAAGGCACAAGAGCCACTGCCAGCGGCTGCGGATCACCTCCCTCAATATCTAGAAAATTCTTGGCAGCGGTGAAGCCTGTTCCAAAGTGTAAGGCAGATGCAAGCACAAGCCGTACTGCCCATGCAGCCCGGCGCGTAGGCAGAAAACGCGTGACAATGTGCAGAAGCCGTGCCCAGAACATGAACATGAAGAACCAAGGATAATCACAGCTGCTATCGACTCCGGGTTTCGCTACTTTTAAGAGACGTCCAAAAACCCATACGATGAGCAGCTGCCAGAGCGAGCGGAACGTTGGAGAATCCCGCTCGTCCACATACCCTGCATACATCGCAAATCCTTGCATGGACATGGTGCCCCACAAATTGTTCAGAGCGTGATAATTCCCGGCAGCCTTGTCATCCAGAATTCTCCGGACAAGGAATTTATGGTGACAAAGGAACACACCCATCATCATAACAAAATAGAAGTGGCCAAGTTCTGCTGGAGGTTTCTGATCCCTTGCCATCGCAAGCGAATCAAAGGACGGCTCCTTGCTCCCCAGGTTTTCTACCAGCCAGGTTGCTGCTGCTGCTGCATCTGCATCCGGGGAAGGCCCACCCAACAACAGCCAGGAGAGCGTGGGCTCCTTGTTGTCATCGCGGTTGAGGGTTAAATTTAGTGGCCTAGGGCTTCGGGCTACCATCTCATGTTACATGGTCATGAGCTTTATTAAATTACTCTCACTGCTACTATTACTACTGTCATTGCTATTCTTATGATTTTCAAGAACTTGGGCTCCATGCGTTTCTGCAACGACTGCCGCTGGATCTCGCCTTTGACGCTCACGGGCATGTCCTGTGAATCGTCTAAGGTTTGATTTAAGCGGTTGAAAGCAGCTAGAAAAATCTAGACATGCCTTGTGCTCAAATTATATTAACTAGAACAGTCATGATCGCAAGGTTCGACGTAGAACTTTGCCAGCATAGACTCAACAAGCCCTCATCTCCTCCCAACAATTGAAACTTAAAACTTTTACCAGTACTACTATGACTATTTGTGGTAGTATCTGATATGAGTTGTATTGCTATTCCTATTGTCATTGTTATTGGTATTCCTATTGTTAGAACTATGCGTTATAATCTACTATGAGTTGTATTGTTATTCTTATTATCATTTTTCTTGGCATTCCTATTGTCAGAAGCATTCGGCCTAAACACCTTAAACCCTAAACCCTAAACCTTAGACCCTAAACCCTAAACCCTAAACCCTAAACCCTTTTTGCATCCAGGACCCTAAACCCTAAACCCCCTTTTTGCATCCAGGACCCTAAACCCTAAACCCCCTTTGCATCCAGGACCCTAAACCCTAAACCCCCTTTGCATCCAGGACCCTAAACCCTACACCCTTTTGCATCTGGTTTGCAGTTTGCAGCGACTCAACCAGGACAGAAACCCTAAACCCCACAGCTGGGCCTGGCTCAAGACCACGTGCCTTAGCTGTGCTTTAGCCACGAGTGAAACTACGATGCTCCGTTGCACTTCTCAAGATCAAAGAAAAGGGTTTAGGGTTTAGGGTTTAGGGTTTAGGGCACAAAGGACACGGAACAATGGAAACATATCGAAAACATTAAGCAAAAAATGTACACGATCAGTAAAAAGAAGAGCGAGAACTGGAAGCAGTCATGACAAGCAAAGGAACAGACAGAAGAAAATGACGAGCCCAAATGGAAACAAACGACAAGAACTGACACGAAACAAAATATCCAAAGAAACACAAAAACATGAGAGAAGAACTGAAATGAAACTGCAACATAAGAGACGAACAGAGGCGAAAGGACATAAATGAACGAGCCATTGGACCATACCAGTTAAATATTTAAACAAACCAAAACAAAACGAAAAGCAGAGAAGACAACCAGAAGTGAAAAGGATATAAACAGAAAATGCGAGAAAGACAAAAGAATAAGATAGACCGCCACAAACATGACAAAAAAGCACAAGACAAGGCAAGACAATTCACGACAAGACCAAACACTACACAACCAAAGCACAACACAACACAACACAAGATCCCTAAACCCTAAACCCTAAACCCTAAACCCTAAACCCTAACCCTAAACACAAGATGTTCCAGTGCCCGCGCGGGTGCTGCGGCAAGACTCGGGACCATTCCGGCTGCAAGGCATTGCACTCCTGAAAATGGAATCCTTTTCGGGGGCTCTGGGTTTTACAAGTGAACGTATAAAGCAGAACCCCTAACCTGTAGATCGCAACAGGCACCTTGGCATTCGCATGCCTAAAGGTTCGCATTTGTTCGCGGTGCTTGGCGCCCTTCACGGCCCCCAAACCATCCACGGAATCTCACACTTTTTCACGAGGGCCCAGGATTCTTGACGGCACTACAGTTTCGATGTTTCACGTTGTTACCTGGATATGGTGCCTTTCCGACAGTCTTTCCTCACCGCGATCTGTAATTGTCACATGCTTTCACGTGTTTTCGCTGCTTATTGATCCGGTGTTTGCGCAGTTTCTCATGTTTTGTGCAGGCTTCTTGGTGCCTCCTTCACTGCACGATGTTCCACCTTTCGCGGTTATGGGGGTTGTTCGTCTTGTACCTGAAACTATAAAAACTCACTGTCTACCTTCTCAGCTTGTATACACAACCCCAAAACGCCTCAAAGCTCACTGTCAGCCCTCGCTTCAGATCTCAACATGACATCCCAAAAACCTATCCAAAACCTCCAAAGCCTAACACCCAAACTGACTGTCCGTTTTTCATGTGCATGAAGGGCACGAAGGACACCCCCGAAGAAACTCGAAGTCGCTGATTCCAGTTATTAGCAGCGCAGGCAGCGGCGGGGTTGGGAGACGGGGGGCCGGGGGTCGGTGGGTTGTCAGCAGGCCTGTCGGCGAGTAGACCTGAGGGCAGCCTGTTGGTAGACGTGTGGGCAGGGTCCGGGCAGGCCTGTGGTACACCTATGGGTTCGGTACGGTAAGGCCCGTGGAGGCTGGGATAGAACCTTTGTAGGACTACGGCTTCTTGATGCAGGCAGGCAGGCATGTAGACAGAGACATGCAATGAAGCATCAACGAAGAGCATGTACATGTGCGAACTATCCCACGAGATTTGGCGGAAGCACCATCAGCTCTAAAATTACTGCAAAGTACATCAACTTTACACGGGTGAAGGCGGCTACTAGAGTTGTTCTGCCCTTCGTCACTTCCGAGTTCTAGGGCTTTTTCTTCGGCCTCTCCTCGATGGTGGCCCAAAGCTCGGAGGCGCTCTTCCCCTGCGGGAAAGGAGGAGAGATCGGCCCATCTTTCTGCGATGCTTTCTGCCATGTTTCTGCGAGTTTCGGGAGTTTCTTCTGGGCATCTGGGCTTTGGGATGCTCTGGGAAGATCCTGAGCTTACTCGGAGGATCATGGGACTTAGTAAGTAAGGTTATAAGTCCCTTAATTGGGGTTATAAGTATAGTTACCCTACTTATACACCCACTTACTAAGTCCCAAGATCCTCTAAGTACTGGACCTGGGGAAGGCGCCGCTGCTGCACAGCTTCCCCCGAGCCCCGACCCTGCTAAACATCTCAAAACGGGCAGTGTTCAACTTGTTTGATGGCTGAGCGGATATACTGGCATCACTGGTATAATATAATATACTATAGTATAATATAGTATAATACCAATATAATATAATATAATATAATATAATATAACATAACATAATATAACATAATATAATATAATATAAGATAAGATAATATAATATAATATAATATAATATAATATAATATAATATAATATAATATAATATAATATAATATAATATAATATAATATAATATAATATAATATAATATAAACATACTATAATATA